CTGTAACAAAGTAACAAAGGACGTCAACATGAACTTGTGACAGAAACGTCGCTTGTTCTCCGAGTGGTAGTGTGTGTGTTTGTTTCACCATAGCACTTGATCCTCCTAGTCTGACACATTTCGTTTTATTGTCACCCGTGCACAAAAGCAGCAACAAAAGAAAAGAAAACCCAGCGAAAACAACAACAATGAAGCAACTACCTTCGGTTGGGACCTCAGAAAGGATGGGTTTGTTTTCTCAGAAAGGAATGGTTTGTTTTCTTCATCTCGATCAGTCCTGCCTAAGACGGCCACCTGTCTTATACGGCCACTTTTCTCCTTGACAATGGGTGGCCGTCTTACACAGGTTCGACTGTACTTGTTTAGGTCTCTGGTCTCATCTCAGACATATATGCTGCCGACAAGAGCTATGAAGTGTTCCAGATATTCTCAGGGTCATGAAGAACTGGTCTCTAAAACCCTACCAATCAATGGAAATTATAATGTATGGCCAAGGTCACTGAACAATCTCATGAAATAGAGACTGACATTGGTAATTGGCCATAAAACATTGCATACGGTATAGCACAACTAAATTTACAGAGTAACGGAAAGAACAAATACTTACCTGCCTGCCTAACAGGCATATCTACTTGATCAGCCATCACGACTTGTAGCAACACTGGGGCAAAGCCAATGATCTTGTGAACCTAGAACAACAGAAGTATACCCAAAAAAAACCATAAGCACAAACAATATAAGTGGTAACAAGCAAAAACATCCTGATATTTATAGAGCACAGCAGCCTATTGATATATATACAAATAAAATTTTCTTCTGCGTAGGCGGGTGCACTATGAGGCCTATAGTTTGGAACTTTTCCCATCAAAGTGATATCAAGATACCACAATACTACATCTTATCTAAATTCATCCCCAAATCTTTCTTTTATTCTTAAAATTTTGTTGGATGATCCATGCTTGCATATTGAAACCTTGCCTTTCTTTTTTTATTCTGAAAATGCTAACAGTAACACAGTATGTAAAGAACCTACTCACTTGGTAGCCTAAACATACATGCCTGTTGTATAATAACAGTATGACAGGATAAGAGGAGGCGCCTTCTATTTCAAATCAGTTTTGTATTTATTTCGTGACAAAGCAGGGAGGCTAGATTTAGAAACCCTAAGAATTTAAAGCCCCCCCCCCCCCCCCCCCCATAATGCAAGGCATTTATTTACACATAGACCAGTCTCAAGTCTTGCAAGTAAAAATCACATAGAAATCTAGAGTCTAGCATAGAGTCTAGAATCTCCGGGCATCTTTACAGCAATTTTCGCGCGCTTTATTGTCTTTGCGTTTACCGTGTTTCAATTTCAAGCATCAGCGTTCTTACTGTTCTGAGCATCAACAATATAAGCGATCTTCAAATAGTCTGTGGGTACCCCAGGATGCGATGACATTACATTACTAAAATAAGCAAGGTGCGTTCCTAGTATCTACGTTTAGCCGCATGTCCTACGTCTAGGCTGGGCAGGCTATCTCAGAAGGAAGTGGTTATTCTCACCCCGGGTGAGAATAACCTATGTCTCGCTATTCTCACTCCCTCCCTTGTTTTACTGGAAATTACCCAAGAGGGATCAGGGCTGAAGTTACCGGGGCTGATACTCCTACGCATCGTGTTGGTGTCCGAATAGACAATAGACCTAGATCTAAAAAAGACCTAAACAATCAGCATGTCATATGACTTAATGACTGGATCAGAATATTGAAAATATGTTTGGCACACACAATAATATCTAGAAAAAGACTGGCTTACTGAGGTTTGGTTATCATTGGTGTGAGTGTTTGCACTAGCCTTGACAAAATTGACACAATTGTCAAGCTGAGCAGTGTCAGACTGAAGTTTTGATGAGATTTCAGACAACTCTGACTGGATGTCTTCATACCCCCCCCCCCCCCCCTTTCCTCACGTGTATCTTTGAAAAAAAAATCAATAATTTCCCCCTATTCCGGAGTCCCATACTTCGCGGTGTTCAGACTTTGAATGAACTTTGGTGACCCCAACAACCGGTGCTCACACGATGCAGTACCTTGTGATGTAGGTTCAATGACCGGTCACGATGGCGAACCCGACAAGACGTTTCTACATTGTATAACTTTCTTTTCTTTTTTTCCCACAAGTGACAGCACAGGACAAATTATATTGATTTATTTTCATGGCATCACATTTTTAAAAATTAAAAACAAGGGCACAGCAAAAATTGCCGCGGTTGACCCTGTGATTTTAAGGGCATTGCGGCAAATTGCAAAGGCACCAAGACAAATTGCCGCGGTCTATTTCAAGCCCTGTAAGTGTGTAAACGCCAGCTGCCGGTCCGCCATATCCCCCTCAGTGTCGGTAGTGAGCCTTTTTCGATGATCTTTTTCGGTAGTTCCCACCCCACAATTGTTATTCACGGGTTTTGCCCACAAGAGTAGGTAGGGGGCTTTCAGGGGGGCTTTCCCCCTGACCTAATAAAAATAGGAAGGGGGTTTTTTCATGCCCCCCTGAATTTTACAATAATTTAATGTTTTGCAGTTGTTAGGTTTGATATCTTAGCTCACCGCGAATCAAATGTATAGTCTAGATCTAGATCTAGTCTAGATATATCTAGATCTAGATGTAGATCTAGATGTAATCTAGGTCAGGCTCAAATAAGGGCGCTTTTTCGGTAGTTCCCACCCCGCATTTGTTATTCGCCGGTTTTGGCCCCAAGAGTAGGGGGGTTTCACGGGGCTTGCCCCCCTGACCTAATAAAAACAAGGTGGGGGGTTTCAGGGGGGCATGCCCCCCTGAATTTTACCACAATTTAATGTTTTGCAGTTGTTAGGTTTGACATCTTAGCTTGCCGCGAATCAAACGTATATAGATCTCTAGATGTAGGTCAGGCTCTATCAAATAAGGGGGGTGGGAACTACCGAAAAAGCGCCCAAATAAGGGGGGTGGGAACTACCGAAAAAGCACCCGCATTTTTGTGTTTTCTTTATTGTAGTTTCCAGGGGGGCAAGCCCCCCTGAATCCCCCCCCTCCCCACTGTTGGTATGATACACGGTGGTCCACCAAAGTTAAATCCCCTGCCCGCCCTCAACAACCACCTCTCGCTCACCTCGCCTCGCCAGTCGCTGCTGGCTTGCGCTGTGCATGAAGTCGCCCGCGGAACTACCTTTTGTCCGCACGTAGAGTACTATGAGTGCGTAGTAGTTAGGCTATGCGTGCGTAGTAATCACGGGCCGAGACGGGTGGCCGGTTAAGTCTACTAAAGTACAATAGTACAATCCATCCTGGGTTATTCTCACCCGGGATGAGAAGAGCGAGACATGGGTTATTCTCACCCTGGGTGAGAAGAGCAAGACATGGGTTATTCTCACCTCGCTGTTTTGATTCTGTAGGACTGTACTGTTACCTGTAGGGTAGGCTATTTAGATTTAGTTTTAGAGTTTCTGGTCAATACCGTCTACAGTCTACAGTGACTAGTGACAGTACTTGACTTAGTTTAGTCTTGAACTTGAGTAGTCTACAGTTCTACACAGTCTACAGTGACTACAGTCTACAGAACAGAGTACTCACCTCGGTCAGCTGTTGCTCAGCTTGTTCTCGTTGATTTGGATCAAGAGTGGCACGCAACACTTCCACTAGTTTTGTTACTTCCATTTTGAACAAGTCTGGCTTCTTCCGAAACGCTGTAGGTAAAATAATATACAAAATCCGTCGAAATACTTCTGCCCTGGCAGTTTCTCTCCTTCTCACCTCTCCTCGTGTAGCGCCAAAAGGAAGTAGATTTGTTGATGGGAAATTACGGTTATTCTAAAGTCGCAATATTCCGCGAAAATAGATGGGCTAAACAATGAACAACAGAGGGCAAAATTGATTTACCTTTGTTTTAAGAGAAATATGCTGAGGTTTATTTCAGTTTTGCTCTTATTCAACTTGTCTCTCCTCCTTTTGAACAGTGACTGTCGCCCATAGGCCCTAGAGCTATCAACTGAGGGATGTATTTGCGCCATTGCGGCTTTAACCTTCTCATAATCACGTTCTTGGCCCAGGCCAAAGACGTTGTAAATAGAACTAGAGATCTAGACTGTGACGTCACGAGTGTCAAATTTGAAGGACGCGCCGCCATTCCGGAGACGATTGAAAGGCCTTTCGGCGCACAGTAACTATTTTCAATCATGAACTCTAGATCTAGTACTAATTATACCTCTTTGGCCTAGGCCAAATTTGTTGTGGAATTTGATTCGACAAACATATAAATGCTCTCTCCCTCTCTCTCTCTCTCTCTCTCTCTCTCTCTCTCTCTCTCTCTCTCTCTCTCTTTGATTCATACATTTTAATTCAGTTTACCTTTTACTTTTTCATCCTCTGTTGCCGTTAAGCGTCATGGGAAGATGCAGTTTTTATGATAGGCCAGCTCCGCAGCTCTTTCAGTTGTGATGTTATGTTTTCTTAGGCTTTCCTTGACACCCTCGATCCACCTTTTGCGTGGCCTTCCTCTTCCTTTATAGCCTGAGTGCTTGGTGTTGCAGGCTTTCGAGGCTGGTTGGTCAGGTGACATGCGTAACAGATGGCCAAACCATTTTATCCTCTGTATTTCAATGTAACGCAGGCATGACTCAGTGCCAATAGCTGCTCTTACTTCCCTTCATTTCTCTGCCTGTCTCAGTGTCTCGTCTGGTGATGTTAAGTGTTTTGCGGAGACATTTCATTTCGCATGCAGTGATTTTGCTTTTATTGGTTTTGCTTAAAGTCTAGGTCTGGCACTGATAACATAATGTCGTTATGAATATTGAGGTGATAAGCTGTCTCTTTGTGTCCATGGAGATGTTTGGATGAGATAAGAGGGGTGCGAGCTGGTAGGTGACAGCGTTGGCTTTTTGAGTTTGCTGTTCTATTTCTCTGTCTATGGACCCGTTTTCAGAAAAAGTGCTGCCAAGATATTTAAACTCCTTCACCTGTTTCAGTCGTTTACTATTGACATGGATGTTCAGGGGACTATGGTCTCGGCTCACTTTCATAACTTCTGTTTTTGATGTGCTTATTTTCATGTTGAATTTCTCAGAGCTGTTGTTGAGTTCGGTAGTGTGATTTTGGAGGCTTTGTTGGTCATGTTGAATAAAACTTTGGTCGTCTGCGAACAGAAATTCATTTAGGCTTTGAACGATCTAGGCTTTGGTTTACGTCTTGCGTTATTGTGTCCATATATATTATAAAGAGGAAGGGAGATAGAACGCATCCCTGTCGTACCCCAGATCTTACTTTGAACCAGTCTGTATTGCCTTCCTTCGTTCTCACTGAGCTTCTGCTGTTGGTATATAAAGCTCTGACATTATCTAACATTCTGTCCTCTGACGCCATACTTTTCGAGTGTCTTCCAGAGTTTTGCATGGTTTACTCTGTCAAAAGCCTTCTCCTGGTCTATAAAGACGATGTTGGCTTTTTTGTTGTGTTCGATTGTTGTTTTCTCGCACATCTGTCGTAATGCTAATACAGCATCCGTGCATCCTTTTCCTTTTCGGAATCCAGACTGAGCTTTGCTCAGATTTCTCTCTACAATAGGTATTATGCGCTGCTCTAGTATCTTTGCGTATATTTTCCCTGAGTGGTTTAACAAGGAGATGCCTCTGTATGTTGTGCAGTCGCGTTTTGTTGCCTTTTTCCCCATAATGGTACCACTATGGCTTTCTGCCAGTCTTCTGGGCATTTTCTTTGCTCCCAGGCTCTATTGAAAATTCGCCTCAGCCACAGTATACCGATGTTTCCACAAGCTCTTATGACTTTATCTGTGATGTCATCTGGTCCTGGGGCTTTGTTCTTGGGGCTGGTCTTGAGTGCCTTTTCTATTGCACTGGGAGGTATTGGTGGTTCTGTTTGATCTCCATAATATGATGGTTGGAACTCTTCTACTTCTTATCGCCCGCGGCAAGCGTCTGGGTTGAGTAGTTTTTGGAAGTAATTTTCCCACCTTTTCTTAATGGCATGTTTGCCGAGAATGGCGTTTCCCTCTTTGTCGTTTATAATGCATGTCGGGTTGTATGGGTCTTTCCTTACCCGCATGCTCTTCACACTTTTATAAAATTCTCTTGGGCTTTCCTTGCAGATTTTGGTCAGTTTCTCGCCATACATTTTCCATGCATTTTCTTTATTCAACCTTATACCCCTGTAGGAACAAATCTGTTTTATTTGTCCTTCGGTGAATAAAAGAACAAAAGATCTTGAAATTTTAGTGATTTTAGTAAGTTACTGTGACAACTTTTTCCATTTAGGAACCAACCAGTTTCAGTAAAGAATATAAACCAGTGTACAAAAGTTTTTAAAATGCACAGAAAATCGAGGTAGCCAACCCGGTGCCGGTACTAATACTGAGGGTAATTTGCCTTTTACACACACACAAAAAAAGAATAAACGATTTTTCCCCCCAAAGAATTTGCATTTCGTTCAAAGTCAGACATACAACCATCACTTTAAGCGGGGGGGGGGGGGGGGGGGAATTAAAGATAAAAGAGGCCGTGGAACCTAGCATCCCACCCCGCCCACGCCACCCGCATCACTAATTACATTAACAAATACTAACAGAATTTGCATCTAGACCTACGACCCTATGCAAGTCAAACGCCTGCATACCTGTCCCGCGTGCTACCCAATCACAGTCGGCACGCCTTTTCGAATGCCTCTTAAAATGTAACACTAAATTCTAAGTTGACTCTAAATTTGTGTATGTACCGGTATATAATAATTGGTCACTTTTAGTCCTGTAGGCCCTACTACATAAATCACAAATTCTATTATAAAAATTGCAACACGGGGGGTGAAATTGAGGCACATGCACAGTGTTAAAAAAACCCACCCTCAATTGTACTAGTTTATACTATTCAAACATATTACATAATCTAAATTAAAATTATGAAGTTCAGTTTTAGTTTGGTAAAAGTTTTTTTGTTGCGCAACTGCGTCAGTCATAGTTCACGAGACACGCACGGTGGTTGTATTCTATAGAGTCATTATATCCTTTATAGATATTCACATTAGGCCTAATTCACAGCACAGCACGGTTTGATTTTATTAACGTTGCAAGGCAGTTACAATATATAAGATAAGATAAGATATAAGATAAGATAAGATAAAATAAGATAAAATAAGATAAGATCATACTTTATTATCCCAGAGGGAAATTTTCCTTTGCTGAACAGGACCGTAAAAACACATGCAGGTATATATAAAAATGTAAATTATATATTACTCTCATTAAAATTCAATATGAAAAGAGAAGTAAAGCTAACAAAATGTACATATCAGATCACATCAGATGCATCATTCAACCACATGCAGGAATTTAAAAGGGTTGAAGGTTGAAGTATACCGGTATCTGAAAATAAAGAGCAACAATTTCAAACATATTCAAATCAGTGTTAAATTCTGTTTGAAGTCTAATAAGCGTCTAGATCTATATTTAGCCATCGTCGGGCAATTTAAACCAACACCGCGGCTACCTAAGCTCCTTTAGTGAAAACGGAAATAAGTTTACAGTAACTCTCTGGTGAAACTGTTGCGCTCAGCTTCAGTCAACGTGATTGAGAACTAGGCTAGGTAAACAAATGCCATGAGTGTTTCCTTGGCTGATGAATTGAAATAAATGTATTTGATTTGTCGACAGGTTATTCAACATACTACAGTACGTGTAGTGATTTGATAGGAAAGGAATTATACTGTAAGTTGGGTTTATTTTAGATCGGGGTTAGGAAAGGATTATAATATACATAGGCCTTCGGAGTATGTTGCGACGAGAATAGAACACCCGAAAGGCCTTATTATATTAGTTACCACTAGCTCCTATGTGAGCCTACCGCCGCGATCCTATTATAATATGTATTGTACTGCATAGATTTAACGCCTCTTCCAACATTGTTAGTTCACCATGTGCACCTCAGAGTCAGACTGAACACCCATATATATCCGATAGGAACAGGCTCGTGGAAGCAAATAAGAAGATTGTTATCTTGCTGGAAGACTGGTTTATTTACTGCTCGGAAAGCGAACGATGAAAGACCGAGCTAGGATGGATTGATAGATAGACGGACAGACAGACAGACAGACAGACAGACAGACAGACAGACAGACAGAT